TATTTTTTTGTTACAGAGATTAAGGGATGAAAGAGGGTTAATTGATGGGGAATTTAATTCTCCGTCGAACTGCCCTTTTTTCATCCCTTAATCTCAATTACGAGGGCAGAGGTGAATTTTTAATTACCGGGAGTCACTGTGCTTCGCAAAACAATTATTTTTCTTACTGCGCTGTGATTTCCATGACAGTTTCTTCCATTTTTTACAGAAATTAAGGGATGAAAGAGGGTTAATTGATGGGTAATTTAGTTCTCCGTCAAACAGCCTTTTTTTCGACTCTTAATTTCAATTAGGAGGGGAGAGACAAATTTTTGAATGGTGAAAAGTCACTTTGCGCCGAGAAGAAAATTATTTTTCTCACTGGCCCATGACTTTTGTCGTAGTTTATATTTTTTTGTTACAGAGATTAAGGGATGAAAGAGGGTTAATTGATGGGGAATTTAATTCTCCATCACACCGTCTGTGTTTCATTTCTTAATATTAATTAGCCAGCACGACGAGGAGGGCATAAATTCCCCTCCGAAACTATCCCTGTGATAGTGCCACAGCAGGACTGCTACTGCCGAGTGCCGAGTTACCGGCACAAGCAGCTCGCCCAGCCGTCAGATTCGACCGTGGCGCCATCCCTCCACTGGGGTCGTACTATTTTTGGCTTGGGGTCTCTTGAACCCCGAGATCTGAGCCTCTACTTTAGTCAATCCTCTTTGTGTGGCACCTCGACGGTGAGGGCCCACTATCTAATCATTAGTTTAATGGTTCCCCGCAGTACTTTTGCCCAAAATCCCCAAAATAGAAGGTGCTAGCGAATTAAATATATCATATAATAATCAAAAATTTTAAAAGAGAATTTGTAAAAGAAATGCTAAGTAGTTTTATGGTTTTGCTCGTTTCGAATTAATTCGTGAAATATCGCCTTATACACAGGCTTTATGAAGGCCAATTTGTCCCACACCCTCACACTGTTGACAAGATGCTAGCCAGCAAAGGAAGGTCTATTTATTTATGTTAAGCCCTGAAAAATGTGACTACGAAGTTCCATAGGGCTTTATCGTTGATTTGTTCAATAGATTAGCGATAAAATTACCTTGGCGATGTCTGTCATTATCCAACATACACCATGTTTGATGTGCCTTCTCTCTCGAAACTAACCTTTCTAACATGACTATTTTACACTCCACTCACCCGCGCGCCCATCGCAACTGCGGAGATCCCTTAAAGTTAAGCAAGAGTATAGAAAAAATTGGATCGGGTTTGGGAAAGCCAGTTAGCGGGGGGTGGGGGGACTGAATCTCTCGACGAGGCGCTTTATATAATCACGATCGAACTTTACTTACAGGTAAGTTCGTTTGATCGTACAATTATGTTCGAGCCTCGTCTTCGAGATTTCAATGACTTGTAGAATGTTCAGAGGCCATCCAATTTTTTTCTTTTTGTTTTTTTTTCCTTTTATAAACCCCAAATTTAATATGAACATGAAAAGGAAGATTTTAAAGATGAATGTCAATGGACAAAAAGAATGGTTATAGACTAAATCATATTCAATAGAACTTTGACAAAAAATCTTTGGGTCAAACGCGGATACGGTAATTATAGAAATGTACAAATCGTACTTCTAAACCATTTGAGACTTACTCGTTTTCTCACAGCAGCTGGAGTTGCTGTATACTTAGTAATGTAAGTTGAGAATCAGCCTGTATCGACTCCAAGATGGTTATGGGACAATATAATCCATCAAGCCAATGTTCATGGAGATTCACAGCTATAAAACTTTCTGAATAAACAAACAGCTTAGAGATGTTAAATCTCAAATCTCAACTGTCACGGCACTAACCAACGTGAAACTCAAAACTTGAAATATAACCGTAGACTTATCCATAACTCGATGCGAAACTCAAAACAGCCGGAGTGTTGTCACCTTCGGCCTCTGCTCCTCGATGTCCCCACGAAAATCCTCGAAAACCGAATAAACGAGATAAACGGGAAAACGAGGAAAATGCTGTCGGGCGCCAGCTGACTTTTGTTCCAGCGGTGTCAACGAACCGCATTAAAGAGAACCATACGAAAACTTAGCCATAATTGGGGAGATCGAGGGAGAGGTTGCGGAATTAGCTCGACTAGCTCGGAGGTAGTCGGAGAGCGGGGTAGGATCGGTCGCTCGGTCTTAGGAAGGATGTCGCGAATTTACCAAAAGATACAGAAAAATCAAAAGGAAGAATCAGAAAATTGATTGAATAGGGGATGAGATAATTACTTTAAATTTACTCCGTGTTTTATTCAATTTCTCAATAATATTCCAACTCAAATAGAATTTCTATTCTTCATAAATAAAATAAATTAATTTCAATTAAATTCAACAGAATTAAATTTAATTAAATTCCCGAGAGTGAGAGTACGTGAATTGACCTTGAGAGAGAGGTTATCGCGAAGGGAATGGGAGGTCCGAAAAGTCCAAGCCAACGATCTCTCCGCATCGTCCAGAAACTGGAGTGCTGGAGGATCCGAAGGCTATATCAATTCCGATGCGATGATCTCGGCGAATCTCCTCAGAACAATAAATGACAATGAATGGGCGAGGGACTCAAGTATGCAAATGTCACTTAAGAGTGCCATTTTGCCCCATATTCGAGTCCGTCCTCCATCAAGGGCGTCGTAGCGTCACAGGGAAATTCCTGGGGCTCGCGCGCTTCAATGTCGTGATTTTCGGGGTCTCGTCTTCCAAGAAATCTTAAATTAATCAATTGAAACCTTGGGGGAACTTTACTGAGCTAGAAGAGCACTCATTTGAGGCTTCAATTCGCTCTGGAAAGAGGAAAAACCGCCATGTGCACTACGGCGTCACCCACGGCACGTGAGGCGCATGTGTGCACTTATAGGCCTGTTTTATCCACTTTTTCCCACTAGAATTGGCACTGGACATTCCCCATACGTTCTCGAGGGTCCTAGTGAACTAATTATGCACTCCGAAGGTGCATTAATTGTTCACCGGACCTCCTGGTGAATGGAGAGGGCACAATGGCGTCATGGCAGGGCATGGGCCATGTGCGGCCTTTTATTGGGGTCTCACTGTCCATTTTCACTATCTCTTGGGTTTCACTGGGGTTTTATCACTCGGGAGAGGTCTGGAGAGCCGAACGAGGGTTTTATGCACTCAGAGGTGCATTTATCCACTCGCCCGGAGGAGTTTTGGTGGTTGGGAATGCATCTCGGCGTCACTCTGGTAACCGCCGGTGCACTTTTCCCGGAGGTTATCACTGGGCACACTGGGAATAGATGCACTTCTCTCCTCGGGAGAGAGTGCACATGGTGAACAAAAATGTACTTACCATGTTCTCGTGTGGGCCCTCGGCGATGGTCTCCACCAACTCTCCCAATCGTTGCAGATGTTCTCGGGGATGTTGTCGCAGTGGTTGCTCGGGTCCAACTCTCTCGTAAACTGCGTCTAACCGGCGGAGGTTCTCAGCTGGGTGGCGCGACTGGCACGCCGTCTAACTGCCGCTGGGGCGGGCTCATGTAACTGAGCACGCGGGGATTTTGATTCAAATGGGTTTTAGACTTATTTTAGGCATTCCGCCGTTAATTATATCTTTTATGAATTAACCCAAGGGGTTTTTATCCATAGTGGCTGAACGATAGTTATCTGGAGGTTCGGAAAGGGGGAATTAAGGCAGTTGTTCGCCTTTTCTCCTCGCGAATGCACTTCACCCCTGAGTGAGTGCACTTTTCGCTGCTGTCACTCTCCCGGGAGTCATCCTGGAGTCACCGTGAATACATCTAAAGAGAGAATAGCCCATGGCGATCCATGCAGACGAGTGGGCTATGTTCATCCACATGGCCTTCCAGCTGCACTGGTGATTCCAGCGACTCCACGAAGTGCCTTCGCCAGGGAGCGTGAGTATTTCACCTCAACCTCTGTGATCAGCAGCCGCACTCGACGAGATCAGCGAGATCTCACCGGGAAGCTCGGTGTATCGGCTCTGAACCGCGGTGGATCGTCGTCCCTCTCAGGATTCGCGAGATTTCAAAATACAAAAACATAACTAGGAAAATACAATTATTGTAAATTTTCCCTCAACCATAAAACCGAAAATCAATCCCCTGAAATCCAAAATAAACCAGAAAGATAACTGAAACTAAAAGAGAACAAAACTTTAATATGACTTGAACCGGAGATTTTACTTTTTACTCGTTTTTAATGTGTATCGACACGTGAATTTGATTATTTTTAGAAATCGAACGTTGTTTTCCCCGCGAGGCCCTTCCTGATATTCTTGGAGACTGGTTTTTACGAGCTGGAGCTAAAAGGGGTGTTGCATCGCCCTTCGGTAGGGGTGCGAACTTTGGGGGTTAAGGGAATCGCGACTCTCTCTCTTCGAAAAGATAAAAATAAGTTCACACTTACCTACTCACTCTTATGATTTACTTAATTCTACGACTAAGTTATATACAGGTGGCGGAATTCTTGAAAATTCCGTCACACAACATACTACAGAAAGCTACATTGGCTGCACGAAAATGATGCCTTTCAAAGCATAAAAGGAGAAACAAGCTGCGGATCGCCTGGGCAAGAAAATTGTATCATGTCTGGTATCGTGAAATCCAGATTTGAAGCACCTTTGAGACTGTTCTCATGTCCAATGGCGGAGAACGTTTGTCGTCTCTGTGAAATACTCAAGGTTACAAGAAAGACAATTTTCCATTGAGGTGAACAATTGACAGATTTGCCATGAGTGGGAAAGACCTTAGGTAGATTAGAATACACTCGGGATACCAGGTATGAATGCATCATGATTTATTAGGACATATTTTGAAAACTTGCTTACCAATCTTTGGAATGTTAGATTTTTTCCCAATGCTTCTTGAATTGGTGGATTTTACTGCTTCATACGCTGTTCCTTATTTGAACTCTACCATTAAAAATGTGCAGGAGAATGGGACTAGATGTTGAACAGCAGTTAATTTCCTTTCATTCATAAAAATTCACAATCTTTCAAGAGAAGACTTCGTTAACGACAAAGAGAAAAATCAACAACAAAGGTGATGAAAGAGCTTCTATGGCTGTTATGACACAGGCACCTGGTACCACGTGAAAGTAGAAGATCCCTTGAGGATTTGATATCGTAATTTGTTTCTCAGATGGGATAAATGAAAGCAAATAAGCAGAATTGAACTATCTAACAGAGGGAGACCATTATATCATCGGTTTCACGACTGGAATTCTACGAATTGTGACAAATTTCCAATTTATTCCTAGGCCAAATGTAGGGGATATCTAGAGAAAATTTTGTGACAAATCGAGAGTGAAAAGGTGTCAGTCGACACTCCAAGGAGATCGCCGTGTCACACGGATTAGCGATTGCGTTTGTAATTTAACAAGAGGGACAAAAAAGGTCCATTTTTGGATTGAAAAGATCCTTCTCACCGAAGTTGTGAAAAACTTAAATTCCAATGTGACACTCCAGTATTGACTTTGGAAGGCATATAAGAAGAAGATGTATTCGACCGAAGCCTTCGCAACAGTGCTAAGACTCTCGAACTGATTTCTTCTGATGAGAGAATTTTTTACCTTCCAACCCATTAACGTAGAGATTGTCTGCGATGTTATTACATTGGAGCAAACGCTCACAGGATCATAGGTCGTGAAAGAATCCCTAAGAGCTAGGTGAATGGTCAAAAACATTGAGGAATTTATATTGTTGTGACTTTCTCATACTGGCCAGATATCTCGACTTGATCTTTTAAGGGGTAACGGAACCCGTCACACGCCGAGGTTAGGGGTCCCTCCTATCGGTATTGCAGATTCCCGTGGTTTTTTGGATTTTGTACGTGAAAAGTACAAAATCCCATAAAATATAAATAAATGGATATTAATAAATAATAATGGTATGGAAACATTCTACCATGCTCATAGACACTGCTGATAGCCACATACACACGGAATTGTCATAAAAACATATGACAGTTGGATTCGTTAAAAATTTTCAACTCCGTTCGCGCCATCTTCTGACTCGTAAAAGTACTTCCCTCTTACAATTGGTGCCTTGAATAGGACTTGTTACGTCCTGGATACCACCCAATCATCATAAACAAGTTTTTACGAAAATTACGCAACAAAAGTACGTTTTTGTACTCAAAATCTGTCTTGAACCTCGCTCGATCGCTCTTTCTCATAAAAATAGCCATCGGCT